GCTAAACAAAACACGGGTCTGTAAGCTGTGTCTATAAGTTGATAGTTACTAAACAAAACAAGGGTCTGTAAGCTGTGTCTATAAATTGACGGTTACTAAACAAAACACGGGTCTGTAAGCTGTGTCTGTAAATTGACGGTTACTAAACAAAACACGGGTCAGTAAGTTGTGTCTATAAACTGATGGTTACTAAACAAAACACGGGTCTGTAAGCTGTGTCTGTAAATTGACGGTTACTAAACAAAACACGGGTCAGTAAATTGTGTCTATAAACTGATGTTACTAAACAAAACACGGGTCTGTAAGTTGTGTCTGTAAATTGACGGTTACTAAACAAAACACGGGTCTGTAAGCTGTGTCTATAAATTGACGGTTACTAAACAAAACACGGGTCTGTAAGCTGTGTCTATAAATTGATGGTTACTAAACAAAACACGGGTCTGTAAGTTGTGTCTATAAATTGATGGTTACTAAACAAAACACGGGTCTGTAAGCTGTGTCTATAAATTGACGGTTACTAAACAAAACACGGGTCTGTAAGTTGAGTCTATAAATTGACGGTTACTAAACAAAACACGGGTCTGTAAGCTGTGTCTATAAATTGATGGTTACTAAACGAAACAAGGGTCCATAAGCTGCCCTATTATCCACCCCTGTAAACTTATGTTTATACAGCTGTTTTAAGAATATGTTGTATTATCGTTACTAAGTTGTTCTTCTAAATCATTCAGTGAACAAGATGTTATAAAAATATAATTTTTACATGAAACGTGTTAAAGATCTAGATAATGCACATCAAACGTCTAACTGTTCAGACTTTATCAGAATTTCCTGACCGTCATTATAGTTTGTAACTCTTTCCAATGTTTTTTTTTTTTTGTTATTGTTGTTTGTATTCTAATCTTCAAGAAAAGAAATACGTTCTAATTTGCGATTGATCACAATTTTCTTCGATAAATTCAACTTGTTAGTTCATTGAGCTACTTACTATTGGCTGTATAAGTGGCCTTCTTCTGCCTCATCTGTGCAATTTCCCTTCTAGCTTATTAACCAAACACTCAACAACTTAAATCAAGTATTACTGTGGGTTAAATAAATCAATTATCGCTAGCAGGGCGAAGGGGTTATACATATCCCCGAACACCCCAGTTTGGGAAAGTTGCCTTCTTTTAAAAACTAAATCTCTGTCACAATTAAAAATATAAAACGTAAGTGGTTTCACTCGCATCCAAAAAAAAAAAACTTCAAACAATAAATGTCATTCACATTAAAGAATTTCTTAGGAAATTATGATATTAATTATATATATATATATATTTCTAATCGTAACATTTTGTTACCCGATACTCAGGTGTTTCCCAGTGGGACAGCGTTTAGTATATGGACTTACAATGCTAAAATCCTTGGTTCGATTCCTCGCAGTGGACACAGCAGATAGCCCAATGTAACTTTGCTCTATGAAAACAAACAAACATTACTCAAGTTGATTTTTGTATTATACTAGAACCCAAATAACACGCTACAAAGGACAGTTATAACTAATACTATTACTATTAACATGTTTCACTGAACGACTTCTCTTCCAGTTCCAGCAAGGCGTTCGTTAGTCACATTCTAAACAAGATTAGCGTTTAAAATTTCTTTGCTATAGTATAATCATTCCTGCATATTGTTCAAATAGGTTAAAAACGTAATCTTTGATATCTGAAGCGCGATTCACGGAAGTCTGCTAGCGAGGTTATCAGTCCTTCTAAAGCTTTAGGCCTAATCAGCGTTGATTTACTTAACTACGGCAATACTAAGCTTTAGGCCTATTCAACATTGGTTCACTTAACTACGACAATACCAAGCTTTAGGCCTAATCAACGTTGGTTCACTTAACTACGGCAATACTAAGCTTTAGGCCTAATCAACGTTGATTCACATAACTACGACAATACAAATCTTTAGGCCTAATCAACGTTGGTTCACTTAACCACAGCAATACTAAGCTTTAGACCTAATCAACGTTGGTTCACTTAACTACGGTTATACTTAACACTAATATAACTATTATTTATTTTATTTTTACTTAATCCTGCCTCATATTAAAAGTTTGAACCAAATGTCTGGAACAAGAACTGAGCAGCAGTTGAAAATTGAAAGTTTAGAGGTTGTCCATTTATAATAACATGTACATTAAACCATTTTTTCACCCACCCTGTCATCTCGCGTACATCCCTTCCTTACACAACCTGCTCTAAAATAATATCATACGAAGACGACCTCATACTCCCTCTCAGTTCTTATTGACACTCAATTTTCTTTTTCACTGAAAAATATTATTTAATCTTCGTGTTTCCCTTTTTAACAACTAATGTCTTCGATCCAAGAAAAATTGTATATGAATCTTTTTATTGAATGACGTTAAATATTGCACACAAAAAAACGTTAAAATCAAAGAAACATTTAAAATTTATCCAACAGAATCCAGTTACCGATCCCTCTCTTGTCCGCAACTGTCATACTCAGTAGACTTACTCCTACATCTTCCACTGTGGTAAATTTTTGTTATAAAGGCAGGCGAGTTCTTTTAAATTATTTACTGGAAATTCAGTCCACTTAATGATAATAAATTAGTTATTAATGACGTTCAAACGTAAATTTCTCGCTTATTTTACTACGACTAACGTAAATACAAATTTACTTCTCCAATTTCACGGCTAATCGATTGAGTGACTAAATAAACGCGCCCCAGGTTTCGATACCCGTGGTAGGCAGAGCACAGATAGCTTATTGTGTAGCTTTGCGCTTAACAACAACCAAATCAAACTGAATGCAATAATTAACACTGATCCAAGTACTGATTCTGTTTAGCCCACACAAGTTTTGTTTTATTATCGCTTAAACTAGAGAAGCGGCACCAATGTAGCACTGATCTTAAAAGAAACGTTGAACATCCCCTTTTACTGTGATAACAATGCGTATATTTAGGCCCGCATAACAGGCAGATTAAGATGCTTTTCTGGCAAATCCATAAAAATCCGGATGGTTGGCAACCCTGCGTATAGTTAGTGTAAAGTAATAAATATAAATTAGTCAATAGAATCACGAGGAAATAACCTTCTCTCTGTTTTTTGCGCGATGCTTACGTAGTCAACATCGAGACCCATGATTTTAAATGTAATGCTACAGTTCCCTGTACATATCTGTTATTCAGTGAGATATGATTTTGCGATTCCAGATATAGTGTCTAATCACTTTCATATGTAGATAAATTAAAATAAGGAGCGGTGGTCTGTGTAACATCACGCTAAGACTGATAATATGTTTTGTTTTAATCTTTCTTTACAAGCCCGATACCGTGGCTTCTCAACACTCAATACCACAACATAGGCTATCCGTGCTGTATCGAAACCCGGTTTCTATTGGTGTAAGACTTCAGAGTTACCGCTGAGCCACTAGGGGGCCTGGCCGGTAAAGAAGATTCGTCATAAATTATCATCAGTCCTATTTTGATGTAATGTCACAAAAACTAATGTTGAATAAATCATGCTTCGTCATTGTAAGGCGTTATATACCATAGTAATTGGTATAGTTTAAATTTGTGATGTAATCAGCGTTTCTATCAAAACCTTGTGTTTTGCATACCCACCCAACCTGATGAGTTCTAGTGTTGTGCGAAACACCTCGTCGGCAGTGTTATGTAGTCGAGTGAAACCAGTAAAGAAATATTTATCAAACCTATTACCATTCTTATCGTGATATAACATCACACAAACTAATGTTGAATAGATCGGTAAGCTTACAGAATTACAACATTAAAATCCGGGGTTCGATTTCCCGCGGTGGCCACAACATATAGCTCAATGTGGCTTTGCTCTAAAACAAACAAACCAAATCGCCAAGTCGTTTTAAAAATTGTCACCAATTTTGATTTTCTCCCTCTCTAAATTTCTCTGGAAGAAAACTGCGAAATAGCGTCTATGTTACTTTTGGTGGCCATTTGCATTATCCATAAAACTTCTGCAATCATAGAAATTTTTTATCGTGTCTCTAAAAGATTAATTGCCAAGAAACGATCTTTTTTATTTCACCTCCGTTTTGAATCTGCTAAACTTTGTATATTGTTTTATGGCATTTTCTCACCTTGCTTTGCTCATTCTTCCTTACCTCCCACCCCTACTTTTAAAAAGTTAGGCCTCCATACATAATACCTTACAATAACGATATTCACTATGTTCTCGGATAATTTACAAGTATATAAACTTCATATTTGTATATGTTAGAAATTCCTTTCTTTTTTTTTCACCATATATCAGAAACTTGATATTTATATTAATTGTGTTATAACTTTATACTTACTAAACGTAAACACAGAAATTATTAAATATTTGCATATTTATTTTTTTCTTTTTAGGCAGATGTACAGTGTGAAGAATGATAACGACTGGATGATATATTTGTAACCCTTGAACAAAATTTAAAAAAAAAAACGAGGAGCATGTGGCACCCTCTTCGGGTCGATTGCACAATGCTGAACCGTAGAGGGTGCTGGACTTTTTATGGGGCAACTTCGGAAGGTAACGCTAGGACGTAGATAGTCCTGTGATGACGTCATGAATTTGGTGAAGCTCGTGGTGCTAGGTGCGCCTGCTGTCGGAAAAACCTCCATCATACGCCAGTTTGTGTGGAATGAATTTACGGATGAATATATCACAACAGAGATCAAACAATTATTCTTCCCTTCTGTTTTTATAAACGATCACTTGTACGAGATGAAAATCTCAGACGTGCCCACAATTCCCTATTTTCCCGCCAATTCCTTCCACGAGTGGACACAGCTCAAGTTGCACGGGTTGCGAAGCGCTCATGCATACATTCTCGTATTCGACCTGACTTCCCCGGACACATTCCAGTATGTGAAAAACCTTCGGGACCAGATCTTTGAAACACGTAACATGCAGAATGTCCCAGTATTTGTGGTGGGCAATAAGCACGACCTCAGTGTGTCACGTGATCGGAGAGAAATAGCGAGTCTAGTCAAGAAACACTGGAAGTGCGGTTACATAGAATGCTCAGCGCGGTATAACTGGCATATAGTGTTACTGTTTAAGGAAATAATGAAAGCACTGGATGACGTCCAGTTTGGTCAGAAACCTGGTTCCGCCACAGTCCGCTTAGAAGGACTCAGAAGAAATAAATGTGTGATATTGTGATGTTCTTGAACAAACTGTGGGATTAATGATTAGCTGAGTCTGCAGTTTTTGTCAATAGTAATATATGTTTATTAGGCCTGAAGCTACTTTAAGACCACATTGGAACAGCCAGTACTCTCGAATGCGTTCTGCTCAGGCAACATTTCTACAGTCAGTATTGTTGGATGTAACCTTAATGCTACATATGAATAGTATATATTGTTGAAAACTTTTTTTAAGGTTACACTTGTTCAGTCGAATCAGTATTGTTGAGTATGTTTATTTAAGGCTACTTTCGTATGATCGGTATTGTTGAGTTATTTATTGCGCACATGTCTAATAGTCAGTGTTGCTTTAGGGTCTATGAAATTACATTCGAAGAGCCAGTACTCTCAAGAATGTATCTTAAGATTGCATTTGCACAGTCCCTATTGTTGAATACCTTTTCTATAGTTACACGCATAAAGAAGAGCAATGCCAAATGACTCAGGCCTTCGTTGCCAAACAGCTCAAAACAAAAGTGTTAGAAATAATTATTACATTACTGTCTCGACATACAACGAAACACGTTTTCACAAGTGGATGGTATACAGCATAAATGCAAGTTACAGAAAAATTATTAAAGTTAAAAATAAACAAACAGTGGTTAGCCTGTCGGGTTGCAGATAGAAATATTCAAAGGTTTAGCCATAGTAATATAACAGTGTCGATTGTTATACCTGTGAGAGTGAATTTCACTTTCTGGTTCGTAGTACACGTATATTAGGTAGTGTGTAAGGTTATTAACTAGTTGTCGTCTCTCGGTCAGTAGTTCAAAATTAGGAATGGATGGCTATGTCCACACCATACGGGCCACTGAAGTGGCCGTTTATCGACAACACAAACACAATTTTAAAATCGTATTATTCTACCAAAACAGATTTTCTTTGTTTAAAGTATTATTTTCTGTTAGATTTTATATTTTTACAAAACTCTGAAAGACTGACTTGCTAACGATTTTAATATTCCCACCAACAAGTTGAAAATTCATTATGAAACAAACGATGATATACAGACTTTAAGTCCAATTACTGTCCATCAGTGATGATATACAGACTTAGGCCAATTATTGTCCATCAATGATGATATACAGACTTAGAAGCCAATTATTGTCCATAAATGATGATATACAGACTTAGAGGCCAATGTCCATCAATGATGATACACAGATTTAAAGAGACATTATTGTCCATCAGTGATGATATACAGACTTATAGGCCAATAATTGTCAAACAATGATGATATACAGATTTAGATGCCAATTATTGTCCATCAATGATGATATACAGACTTAGAGGCCAATTAATTATCCATCAATAATGATATACAGACTTGGAAGCCAATTATTGTCCATCAATGATGATATACAGATTTAAAGAGACGTTACTGTCCATCAATAATGATATACAGACTTAGAGGCCAATTATTATCCATCAATAATGATATACAGATTTAAAGAGACGTTATTGCTCATCAATGATGATATACAGATTTAAAGAGACATTATTGCCCGTCAATAATGATATACAGATTTAAAGAGATATTATTGCCCGTCAATGATGATATACAGATTTAAAGAGACATTATTGCCCGTCAATAATGACATACAGATTTAAAGAGACATTATTGCCCG